AGAGAGAGAGAGAGGGGGGGGCCATGCTTGACCCTGGGAGGATTATGAGGTGCGACAGTGAGCCAAATGTTAGGAAGAGTTGGCTGACCGTAGCTAAATGTTAGTAGATAAGTTTGCCAAATCCTACTGAGAACAACAGAAGGTGGGGGAGGGTGAAATTTGGTCATACTTGCATATGGCTATGGCTGTCAGAGGCAGAAGCAGGAATAGCAAGTAGACAAGGCACGTGGAACATGATCAGCACTGGAGAGAGAAGACACTCCCACATAACAATACCAGAGCTAATGTAGCAGAGTGCCCACCAAGCAGAAGCAACCCAGATTGTTTCAGTAAGATACATAAGGCTGAAAATAGCACAGCACCAAACCCACCCACCTATACCTTGGTCTCACGAGTGGCAAATTTTTCTTTAAGGTATCGAATTCATAGGACAATAACTCAGTATAATGTGAGATAAAATTAACATCATGTGGATGCTAGATACAAATCAGAAACAATCAATAAGAGAATGCTGCCTTTAATGGATACAAATAGGAGATTTCGTCCACATTTTTTTCTTATCAATAAAAGAGTGATTTCAGTGCATGGACCTGCTCTGGTTTGTTCATTGTTTTGGGCAATGTTATTCTGATAAATTTGCATGAGAATTTGGATAGAACATCTCATCTTCCCAGTAGCTTTCACCTTTCACTGGTGTAACTTGACCCCATTGATCCTTGTCTGGCCTAGGTGATCTGGTAAACAATTGCTCAACCTATACTTTGGTAATCTTTTTAAATAGTTGAGAAGGTTTTGTTTAAACTCCTGGTTTTTCAGGTTAAACATTTCCTAAACATTTTCTGTGTAATCTACCAAACCTGTTTCTACATGAGTCAGTGTAACTTCAGTGGTGTGCAGATTCCTACCCAAGCCACAAACCCCACTTGGTGACCTGAGACATCATTATCTCTCAGCCTGAGGTAATCCGTAGGGCTGTTGGGAGGAAGAAGAGGAACCACACTCCACTGTGTTCCTTCAGAAGAGATCTGAGCAACAACTGCCTTTGCCTAAATGTTGTTGTTTGCAACTTCTGTTATTCCTTCTCATTGCTGTCTAGGACAGGCAGGAGCTGCAATCCAGCAAGATCAGGGAATTCAAGTGTTCCTTAGCCTTGCTCTAGAAGGGTGGTTCCCAACCTTGGGTCCCAAGATGTTCTTGGACTACAATTCCAAGAACCCCTGGCCAGCAAAGCCTTGCACTAAGCTGGCCAACAGAGAATTTACCAGGTGTGTTAAGGCTGATATGGTGGAATTAATGAATACTTCTGGTGCTGCTAGTCCATTAAAGGACTGTGGACAAGGTAGTCCTGCAGTAGGTAGAAGATTTAGGACAGGATGGCATCCAGGTTGCTAGGTTTCCTTTTGTGCTAGTGCTAGGGGCCTCATGCTTTGTGCACAGCAAGCAACAAATGTTGGGAAGATAAGAGTGACAACTACAAATGTTTGGAAAAGATTAAGTCTGCTCTAAAATGATTGCAGGCTAAACTCCTCCTCTTGTATGTCATTGGCTTCTGAAATGCAATTTTGGACTCTGGAACAGAAAATATCTGCGTTTTCTAAGAACAAGAGCAGTTTGTGGAACTATGAAACTATAAAGTGAAGAGCAGAAATGCCTGGATGATCCATATATGTTTATGTTCTTATTCTGTATTTGAAATATTTTAGATTATGAAATAAAGATAAATGATGTACAGTGATTTAGTGCTGAAGGTTACAGTCCTATGTATACTTTCATATCTAGGAGGAACCCCCATTAAACTCACTGCAACATTCCCTCACATTTTCTGGGGTGCTGCGTGGGAGCCCGGCCCCATGTGCATGGAGTTCCAGCCACGACAGGAAGCAAATGGGTGGCCCCAATCCGGCGCTGTACAACAATGCAGTCACACAGCTTAGAGGGAACATTGCCTCAGTGGGACTTACTTTTGAGCAGGCATATGGAGCCTTGCTCTGTATGGTGATGTTTCTCTTTATAATTTGTAATATATTTTGACAATTCCTTTTTTAGGCTGTAACTTCCAGAATCCCTGAGCCGGCATTCTCAGTGCCCAAACTGGCTGTGGGAATCTGGGAATTGTAATACAAAGTTGTTATGTTTCCAAGCTCTGATTTAAATTGATTTCTAGGGAAAAGCAAACAGAAGCTGGTGATCATCCAATTTGGGATGATTTATCCCTAAGAGCAAAATGCATGAGTCTCAAGTTCTAGTCATCCAAATTGGAATGGTGTAAAAAATTTCAGTGAGTGTCGAGTAGTACACAATACTTGTATGTGTTATGTGTTGCCAAGTTTGACAATGACCCTAGTAGAGTTTTCAAGACATGTGAGACATTTAGGGCATGGTTTTACCATTGCCCCCCACTCCATGAGTTTCTATGGCAGAACAGGGATTAGAACTCACATCTCCACAGTCCTAGTTCAACACTGTATCTGCTATATCACCAGACTGGCTTCTAAGATATGAAGATCAGTTGAAAAGGTCTATGAAGGAAAGGCCCTAAAGAGACAAATTCTAGGCGTTCATATGCCAATGTTAGAAGACTCCAATGTGATGTATCAGCTCTGGGGGCAGCTGCAAGATTCATTCATTCATTCATTTATACCCCAACCATCTAAACCGAAGTCTTCTCTGGGCGGCTAACAACAATCCATAAAATACTAACAATATAAAATAGAACAACAATATTCATATAATTCAAGATGGCAAGAAATAGATTAGACGATGACAGGAGGGAAGGCCTGCCTAAAGAGCCAAATCTTAAGTTTGCTCTTAAAAACACCCAGGAAAAGCCCTAAAGAGACAAATTCTAGGCGTTCATATGCCAATGTTAGAAGTCTCCAATGTGATGTATCAGCTCTGGGGGCAGCTGCAAGATTTATTTATTTATTTATTCATTCATTCATTTATTTATACCCTGACCATCTAGACCGAAGTCTACTCTGGGTGGCTAACAACAATCCATAAAATACTAACAATATAAAATAAAACAACATTATTCATATAATTCAAGATGGCAAGAAATAGATTAGATGATGACAGGAGGGAAGGCCTGCCTAAAGAGCCAAATCTTAAGTTTGCTCTTAAAAACACCCAGCGAGGGATCCAGACAAAGATAACACAATTGCCTGCATTCCTGGGTTGGCAGTTGTGGGCTGGACTTCTTGATCTGACCTGGGGGGTGTGGGGGAGAGAGAGATTGTTCTTTTGTTACATCTTTTCCATTTGCATTGTGGCAGCTTTTCTTTTTCTTTCTTTTTTTAAAAATTCTTCTGCCAGCGAGGGATCCAGACAAAGATAACACAATTGCCTGCATTCCTGGGTTGGCAGTTGTGGGCTGGACTTCTTGATCTGACCTGGGGGGTGTGGGGGAGAGAGAGATTGTTCTTTTGTTACATCTTTTCCATTTGCATTGTGGCAGCTTTTCTTTTTCTTTCTTTTTTTAAAAAGATGTTTCTTCTGCCTTCTTCTTTCAGGCATAGACTCCGTGCCTCACGAGAAGTGAAAACAAAGCGGCTTCCAAATTGTCACCTGATTAAAGGAATAGGTAGGTTTGGTTTGAACTAATAATAATAACAATCATTGTGTGCCATCAGTTCTGACTTTTGGCAATCCTTTTCACGGTTTCCAGGTAGAGAATGCCCAGAAGTGGGTTACCATTCGCTTCTTCAGGGACCACCTTGGGGCTTGCCCAAGGCCCCACAGGTTGGGTTTTCTTCCTGGAGGCACAGCAGAGAATTGAACTCCCAACCTCTGGCTCCACAGCCAGATACCTAACTCACTGAGCTGTATAACCTTGTTTGAACTACTGTCCCCTGAATGTTACAACTATTAAGATGTAAAGGTTCCCCGTGAGATTTAGTCCAGTCGTGTCTGACTCTATGGCGCAGTTCTCACCCCCGTCCCCAAGCCGTAGAGCCAGCATTTGTCCATAGACAGTTTCCGTGGTCATGTGGCCAGTGCGACTAGACATGGAATGCCGCTACCTTCCCACTGAGGTGGTCCCTATTTATCTACTCGCATTTTTACATGCTTTTGAACTGCTAGGTTGGCAGGAGTTGAGACAAGCGACGGGAGCTCACTCTGTCACATGGATTCGATCTTACGACTTCTGGTCTTACAACCTTGCAGCACAGAGGCTTCTGCGGTCTAACCCGCCGCGCCACCATATCCCTTACATTGCAGCACAGAGGCTTCTGGGGTCTAACCCACCGCACCACCATGTCCCCTATGGCTATTACAGACTCTAAAATTCAGCTTTTTCAGTGAGGGCAGCATTTAAGGCTCTCCACATACTCTTCTGTCAATCCCTCCAAAAATTTTGAGGTAGGTTAGGATGGAAGATAGTGACTGGACCAAGCTCATCCAAGTGAGCTTCATGGCTGACTGGGGATTTGAACTCTCCTTTCCAGCAGTTTCCAGAGTCCTAGTATGATACTCTCAGGTGCTACAACTATGGAACTGCCTGTTAATGTGTCATTGAGCTTCATTTGTCACAATGAGTTCAACTTCATTATACAAGTTAGACATTCAGGCCAATAACAAACACTGAACTATTTTTAAGCACTTTCCTCTAGCTCCAGCCTTGGGGAACCAACAAACACTGAACTATTTTTAAGCACTTTGCTCTAGCTCCAACCTTGGGGAACCCAGGTGTTCTTGGACTGTAATTCCCAGAAGATTTTCACCACCAGCTGTGCTGGCTGAGGTTTCTGGAAGTTGTAGTTGAAGAATGCCTGGGTTACTGAAGGTTGGGAACCATTGCTCTAGCCAGATTGCCTCACAGATTGGTAGAAAAGTGCCTCCCTTGCTCTGGAGTGGGGGGTGGGTGGGTATAAAATGTCTATTAAGCAGCATGATGTCTCTTGGGGAATGACAGCGTGGGCACAGAATGTTTCCTATTCCTGTAGTACAAAGTGGTGCATGTGTGTATCAGAGAGCTTTTAAATAAGAGTTGGAGTTGTGTGCTTTGAACATGAACACAGAAGAGACATCGTAACAGAGAGCTGATTCTAGTGTTTGGAAACATGATTTTCTGGTGCTCCTTTATTTCCACTGGCTATGCTGGCTCTGGATTCTGAGCGTTGTTGTCTGAAAATTTAAATTTCCCACGAGACAGTCTTTCTCAGACAAAGATTAAGTCGTCTCCTAGTCCTTTGCCCTCATTGCAGTGGCTTTTGTTGAAGACAGACTCTTTCCATAGTAACAGAGAGAGCACATTGCAGCTTTCAGTCCACAGATAAAGAGTATTTTTCCTTCTACTACTAGGAATGAATTCTTACCCTTGTTGGCTTTGAACTTAAACCACTGAAAGAAGGTTAGAATTTGATTGGGGCTCACAATTGCTTTTGACTGGAAGTGCACGAAGACAGTGCTTGCTATTTCACAGGAAAGTACCAGTGATGTATACGAGTGTCTGTTTGGGGCAAAGAATAATATACCTTGCTATTTGTAACACCTAATGCAGTAATCCTTAGATTAAAGCTGAAAGTTTCATTTAACTCTTTTGGACTTTCAAATAAAGATGCATAGGATGAAGGTATAAATAATTTTGTATGCCACTGCAGTAATATTTCTCATGGCCTTCTCTGAGTAAGATGATTTTCTTTTTTTTTTCCTTCTCAGAAACTGGCTCAGAAGATATTGACATACTCCCTAATGGCCTGGCTTTCATTAGTACAGTAAGTCTTTCTTTTGCATGTACAAAGCAATGTTTGAGTTTATTGGACAGAAGGCTGCTGGTGGTAAATTTCAGGCTATATCATTTTTAATAAACTTTTTTTTAAGAGTGGGTTTAATCCTGTCTGTAGTGGCAAGAGTGATGGGCTGGTGATGGTTCAAGGTCACAGCAGTGGGACTGGAGGTCTGTTTCTCTGTTGAACTGGCCTTGTAAGCAACAGCCTAGCCTGCTTTGTTTCTATGTATTCTCGAAGCGTTTCACAGCCAGTATCTGATTGTTGTTGTGGGTTTTTCGGGCTCTTTGGCCGTGTTCTGAAGGTTGTTCTTCCTAACATTTCACCAGTCTCTGTGGCTGGCATCTTCAGAGGATAAGAGTCAGAACTCTGTCTGTGCTCTGGTGCAGTATCTTGGATAGTTGAATATTTATAGCTGTGAGATCAGCTTTTGTCCTTTTCAGGAGATGGGTGATTGTGGTGATCAGCGTGTTTTTTTTGTTGTGGATGTATTGTTGTGATGAGGGGGAGAGATTGTCACTGTGATTGATGGGTGTTGTTAGCTGGTGTTTTGTGTGCAGTGATCACCACTCCTTCTGGCTGGGTAGAGTTCGTTGACCATTCACAGACTGTATTTTTCAGTGCTGGGCTTTGTTCAGGCTTTGTTCAGTTTCAAACTTTCTTCTTTTTTGTTGAAGCTCTGCTGGTGTTTGTTGATTCCAATGGCTTCTCTGTGCAGTCTAACGTAATGATTAATGGTGTTGTCCAGTACATCAGTATTTTGAAACAGAATTTTCTTGTCTAGCTTGTTTTAGGGCATGTTCAGAATTTTCTGGTTGTTTTAATCTGCAGTGTCTTTCATGCTCTTTGATTCTGGTGTGGATGCTGTGTTTTGTGGTTCCAATATATACCTGGCCACAACTGCAGGGTATTTGGTATACTCCTGCAGTGGTGAGGGGGTCCCTTTTGTTCTTTGCTGACTGTAACATTTCTTGTGTTTTTGTAGTGGGCCCGAATACTGTTTATAGGTTGTTTTTTCAAAAGTTTCCCCACGCGGACTGTGATCCCTTTGATGTATATGGCAGAAATACTTTATTTGTAGGTGGCTGTTTTTCCTCTTCAGTTTGTTGTTGTTTTCTTGGTTTTATGGCTCTTGTGATTTCATTCTTGGAGTAGCCATTTGCCTGTAGGGCCCAGTTCAGATGGTTGAGTTTGGTGCTGAGAAATTGAGCTTCACAGTTCTGATTTTCACAGTCTACCAGTGTTTGGATTATGCCTTTTTTGTTGTGGGTGGTGGTTGGAGTTTTTGTGTAGGTACTGGTCCATGTGGTGGGTTTTCTGTAGACCTTGTGTCCCAATAAGAGGTCAGTTTTGTGTATGACCATGACATCTAAGAAAGAGAGTTGGTCCTCTATTTCTTTTTCCATGGTGAACTGTATATTTGGGATAATGCTGTTGAGATGGTTTAGAAATTGTTCAAGTTTTTCTTCATCATGGTTCCAAATTGGAAAGGTGTCATCCGCATATCGGAACCAGAGTGTGGGTGTGAAGGGTGCCGAAGCCAGGGCCTGTTTTTCGAAATGTTCCATGTAGAAGTTTGGTCTAACAAGGCTGAGGGGGCTCCCCATGGCCACTCCATCTGCCTGTTCATAGAATTCGTTATCCCATTGAAAATAGCTGGCTGTTAGGCAGTGTTGGAAAAGCTTTGTTTCTCTTAGTCAGAAAGAGGTGCTTAAGAGGGCCAGATTGGATTTTTGTCTGTCAGCCTGCTTGGCTTCAATGTGAGCCAGAGAAGAAGTGGATTCTCTTCCTTCACAGCCAACAGGAGACTGTCAGGCAAGGCAAAAGAGCAGTGTCCCCTCACTTCAGGATCCTCAACTGCCACCTGGATAGAATACCTGGTTACCTGTGGTGACTAGGTGTGTAGATAGAAAGTGCAAAAAGGAGTTAAATCTTGTAGATTTGAGTGTCATAAATGCATGTGCTTATTTCTTTAACAGTTAAATGTATGGCCTGCATTTCCTCCAGTAGGTTCAGGGTAGAGTACATAGGCTTTGTCTTCACCACTTTGTTATCCTCGTGATAACCCTGTGAGAGTTGGGCTGAGAAGGCAATGATTAGCTCACAGTCATGTAGTGAACTTTGTGGGATTTGAACTGTGAGTCTCTCATCACTACACTGGTGGAGGCACTGGCCCTCGCTCTGTGGGTAAATATGGAACACAACTCCTCAAGGCTCTCGGGAACCATTATGTGGCTTCTCCATGGTTCCCAGAGTATTCCATATAATCATTCACCTTCAATGGAAGGATCATAGTGGAACATTTATTTGCTAAACAGTGTGGACACAGTAGAATTAAAGATGAAAAGATTTCCAATTGTGTGATGGAATCTTTGATACATCAGACAGAGAGCTGTAATAGTTCATGGAAAGTTCTGAAGTACAAGCAGGATCAATATGTTCTTGAATGGCCAGAAGGATAAATGAATGTCAGTGGCTTCCCTTGACTTTTGATCCCTTTGTGATGCAACAGTGAGAAAGGTGTCAGTGTCTATGTTATGGCAGTGTGTTGATCTTGGCACTCTTGAGAGAATATTTTTAATATTTATTTTGTTTTTCAAGGGCTTAAAATACCCTGGTATGCAAAGCTTTGCACCTGATAAAAGTGGGCAGATACTACTAATGGATCTCAATGAAGAAAATCCTCAACCAGTGGAAATGAGAATCAGTCGTGGGTTTGATCTGGCTTCTTTTAACCCCCATGGAATTAGCCTATATGTTGACACAGGTATGTTGACTTGCCCATTTGATGGGGCCATAAAGTGGGCAGTTGCCAATAAGTCACTGGATGTCCTTCCCTCTAATTTTGCAACTAATTGGTCCGCTTGTTTCGTCACTGTGAGAAATATGAAACGCTGTAACAGTCAGTTAGAGGTTCTTGCAACAAAGGACAGCATAAGGAATATGCAGTTGTCAGTTTACTCATATGTTGTGAGGTGAGGGTGCTTCAGGATTAGACCATATTTCCACCAAAGACAATTTAAATTAATCTATGTGGGTAGCTTGCTAAAGTGGTTATCTGGAGATCAGTAAGCATTTTTATGTATCCAGAATTAGCAAGCTTTGCATGCTGCAGGAAGGCATCTGTTCTTTACACCAGTGGTCCCCAACCTTGGGCCTCCAGATGTTCTTGGAGTACAACTCCCAGAAGCCTTCACCACCACCTCAGCTAGCCACGATTTCTGGGAGTTGAAGTCTAAGAACATCTGGAGGCCCAAGGTTGGAGACCACTGCTTTACACGGTTATGGCTAAGAATTTGCAGGTCATGGACTTCCAGTAAACTAAGGCAGGTAGGCTCAAAATCCATTTGCTCCTATATGCTCATGCATCTCATTTCAGAATGAAAGACACATTTGTCAACAGGTAGTCAACATTCCCATAGAAGTGTGCAGCTATGTTGTAATAGCTGTGCATCACAGTAATAGGTGGAATTCCAGGTGCGTGTCGAAAAATGCTTCAGAAGACAAGCCTGCCTGTTTCACTGGCCCAAGTTCTTTTTATAGATTATGTCTGCAGCGGCACAATCTTAGCCTCCACGTAGAACCTTCATGAAAGTTGTTTTGATTTATATACACTATTCCATGTGCTATTATCTATGCATTATTTTATTATTTTAGTTTGTATGTTTTGTTTAAGTAGTATTTCACTAAGTCAGGCAGTCTAGAAACTCAATAAACAAACAAACAAAAAGTCTAAAGCACTCTCTGGATGGTTTACAGTATAATTATGCAAATAGCACTTTTGCCGTCCACTGAGCTGGGTGCTCATTTTAACAACCTCAGGAGGATGGAAGGTTAAGCACTTTTGCCGTCCACTGAGCTGGGTGCACATTTTAACAACCTCAGGAGGACGGAAGGTTGAGTCAACTCAGAGCCAGCTATCTGAGTCCTTTGGGATCGAATTCAGGTTATGAGCAGAAGTTTGACTGCAATACTGAAGTTTTCCATTGCACCATATGAAAATGTAACATGTTGTGAAACTCCTCTTTCTGTGGAGTGAGGTGATCCACTTCTCTACAGTGCATAGCAGAAGATCAGTAAAGAAGGTAAAATGCTGAAAGCTGCCATATGTGTGTTGTATAAGCTCTCAGTGCAAGTTCTATCAAATGTATTTCACTGTTTGCTTTCCCTAGACGATACTGTGTACCTTTTCGTTGTAAATCACCCACAACACAAGACAGTAGTAGAGCGCTTTAAATTCATGGAAGATGACAATTCTCTCTTGCATCTTAATACCATCAAACATGAACTCCTGCCAAGGTAGGAAAGAGTGAGCCTTGCTGAATGCATGGTTGGGATTAGAACTTGGGGGCAGGGTGGAGGCAAGATATTGCTTGGAATGTATAGCTGGCTGGATAGCTCTGTGGTTTAGATATCTGGCTGCAGAGCCAGAGGTATGGAGTTCGATTCCCCCTCCCCCATGTCTCCTGTGAAGTAGAGCCAGCCTGTGTGGCCTTGGGCAAACTGCAGAGTCCCAGGGTGGCCCCTGAAGAAGATAATGGTACTTCTGAATATTTTCTACCCAGAAAACCCTGAACAGGGTCACCATAAGTCCAAATTGACTTTATAGCACATTATTATTATTATTGTTGTTGTTGTTGTTGTTGTTGTTGTTGTTGTTGTTGTTGTTGTTGTTGTTGTTGTTGATGGTGTTGTTGTTGATGGTGTTGATGGTGATGATGGTGTTGTTGTTGAGTTATATAGAGAGTATGTGAGATAAGACGGAGATTGAGGAAGGCCTGGAATGACACTTGTGGCCGGTGTTGCCCCCAGAACATCATGTTACCACTGCTCAATTATGGATGACTTCATCCATAACTCTTTGCTGGCATGATGCGACATTGGTCCATTGACAGATGGGAGAAAGAAGCAAGGTGGAGGAGACATGGAATTAGCTTGGTAGGAATTGGTTAGGAGTCCACCAGGCCTTATCTCATTAATCTTACTCTTCACTTTGCTTTGAAGTTATAGGTTTTGCTTCTTGGATAAACCCTGTGATGTGTACGGTAATTGTCACTGAGACCATGGTTAAAGGTTTTGAACAACCGCCTCTTTCCTGCAAAATATATAAAACTGTCTTGTAGTCATCAGGGTTCAATGGGCGCTGAGAAGTGATGCTCAGAGATTGGCAGGCCAGCAGAAAGAACTGTGTTTCTGGACTTGTAATAGCAGGAAATGCATATTTTCCATCATATGTGATTTGACTCCAGTTTGACAACTAATTGGTAGTGGCGGTTATGCAACAGGATATATTTTGATTGATTGGCCACAAAATAGTAAAGATACTTTGTAAACAGAACTTCCAGCAGCTGTACCGGATAGCCATCCTTACATTTCCATTTTACTTTTCGTTTTAGCGTGAATGACATTGTGGCTCTGGGTCCGGATAGTTTCTATGCCACCAACGATCGTTATTTCCCAGAGCCCCCCTTGCACTATTTGGAGATGTTCCTGGGTTTAACGTGGACAAATGTTGTCTACTACAGCCCTAAAGAAGTAAAAGAAGTGGCAGCGGGATTTAAATTTGCCAATGGCATTAACATTTCACCTGATGGAAAGTAAGTTTCTTATAGGCAAAATGACTCATTCAGTATTAGGTAGGATATGTTCATTTTTAAAATATTCACATCAGCAATTTTCCATAGCATATTTTATAATAAGGCTTATATACATATGTACAAAACACTTTGGATTTTTAAAATAAATGCAATGGAACAGTGAAACAGAAATAGTGGATAAGACAGGAGTAGGATTTCTGCTGTTGCAGTTGGGCTTTTTAAAGGAGCTGCAATGAACTGACAATAGTTGACTATAGTTTCTAAAGAGACTCTTCCACTACATAGTCAACTCTCTGATTTCCATAGGTAGAGGCACTTACAGTAGGACCTTGGAAGATGAGGCCAATAAAGGGATAGGTTCCTGTGAAAAACAGCTAAATGGTGAAACATTTAGCATGATTGAGAACTAGACCTGGACTCTCTGCCAATGGATGATAATGTGTCTCTACTTGTACAAGACTACAGTATTCTTAAGACAAAGTGTATTGAGTTGTTCTTCTACTAGCACATCCTACCCAGAAAAGAAGGTGGGACATTTCTCAATACTCATTCAGAGCAAGATCACAAGCCTGGTACTACATTGGTGTGGCCACCACTACAGAATGGACCTGAACTTTGGTTCATCTCCTGTAATGAGCATTGCTGCTAGGCAAACATATTTCCAAGAAAGTTATGGGAAGACAGTACTGGGAGCAGTAGCATTAATATACCATGGCTGTGATGATGGTGACACAGATTGCCAGTGTAGGTTCCAGCCACAGCTTAGTTGGCATGTTAGTGGTGGGTTCTTCTGAGCTGTGGTGCCTTGTACATGTGGCCTGTTGTGTTAGCCTCTGAAAGTCATCCTGTTGGACTGTGTGGTCCACCTCTAAGCTTGAGGAGCTAATTGGTGTGTTTCAAATGTTGAGAATGTTTCTGGCATGCTCAAAAATGGCTGCTGTGATGGCCATGGCTTGTTATAGAACACCCATTTTCCAATGCAGGCAGTATTAAATGAAATTCAAGATGTTAATGTTATCAGCACTTTGAGTGCCCACTGCCTGCTGTAGCAGCTTCCTCAGTTGTAGCTTTTGCCATACATGTGACTATTTAACAGGCTAAACATGAATTGCCCAAGGACTAAATCTCATGGCAATGGTGATGGGTCTGAGCTGTCAAACACAAAGCCATTCTTCCGAACAGGAAGTGTTTCTAATTTTCCTCCAGTATCTATTTCATAGAAAGCAAGTTCATGAAAATCATGAATGACCACATGCAACTTTCACCCTGCCCCGTCCCCAAAGATTCTTCAAAGTTTTTATTTCATTTCAAGGTACGTCTATGTTGCGGATGTGATGGATCGTAACATTCATGTCTTTGAAAAGCATGAGAATAGAAGTTTGTCTCTTTTGAAGGTAAGCGTCTAGTCCTTGTGTGAAACACGAACTTGAGTTGAGTAGTTTCTCCATGCATTGATATAGCTATTTTTGATAGAACTTGTGTGCTTGTGTACATATACATTAACCTTTAGTGAATAAATATTGTTGACTCTTGGGCATTCTGTTCCCTTCTGACATCAAAGAGTTGTTGGTGACAGTCTCTGAAAGATCTCACGCCTTTACTACTTAGGAGTTTGACCCATGTAACTGACAGCTGTTCTGAGTTAGGCAGGTGAAAATGAGTAAGTGTATACTGAGGGCTTATATGCGTACACCAGTACATATGTGATCACTGTATTGCTGTCTCGGATATGGGGCACTTCCTTTGTTCTTTGCTTTCCTCACCCTAGGAAGTTGAGGCAATGGGTTATATTTATCTCTGGGTCATAATCCAGTGGTGGAGCACATGTTTTTCATGCCAAAGTTTCCACTTCTGATCCCTGCTATCTCCCTTTATAGGCTGGAAAAGATCTGTAGGCAGGCGTTGGATTGTGATCTCCTGGTAGACCTCAGGGTGATCTACAAGGGATCACTTAAGGTTTCTGACTCTGGATTGTTCAATAACAGCAAACACAAAAAGGTTCTCTTTGGCTCCTGCATAATTAGGTTGCTGACACTAAGAAAACTTCAAAGAATCTAGAAGTAGATTTCTCTTTTAAAATACCGTGAGATGAATCCTGGGACTGAAAAAAACAATAATTGTATTGATCTGTTCAGAAGCACCCTTGTTCTTTAATTCTCAACTGACATCCTGTTTTCCCAGGTCAATATTTTGCCATGAGTTCCTGTTGGTATACCTGAGGAATCTGAGAAAAATCCAAAGCAGGTTTATAGGTTTTTAATATAAATAGTACTGTGATCCATGAATAAGTCATCTCATATATAAAGCAGCTTCCTGTGTCCTTAAATAGCTCATCTTTTGTAGATTTTAATGAACATTGTGGTTCTGGTTAACTTCAGCAAATGTACCCTGATTTCATTCCAGCCTAAGAGAAAAATAAATAGGCTTACTATGGGGAAAAATAATTGTTTTCAGTATTGGGTATGGTAATTATAAGTCTTGCTTGTACATTGCTTTGTTTCTTTTGTGTGTTTTAGGTTCTGCAGTTGGAAACTCTAGTTGACAACATATCAGTTGATCCTGACACTGGAGATATTTGGGTAGGATGTCATCCTAATGGCATGAAGCTCTTCCGTTATGATCCAGAGAACCCTCCTGGCTCAGAGGTTAGTAGGAATTGTCTTGGCAAAACAAATGATTCATTTTCTAAACTGGCATGAACGAGAGGGCACAGAAACCAATGAGTGCCTAAGAAAGAAGATATTGGCTAAAATTTATTGTGAAAATCTTTGGAAGATTTTAAACCTTTTTTCTTTTTCATTTCCTGAACACTTTTCAGGCCCGAATTGTCTTAATGTGGAATTCGAAATCTTGACAGAAAGGTTTCCATGGGTGTTAGTGTAGAGTTTAGATCAGAAGATGGTTTTATTGCTGAAGGCCCAAAAACATTGCAAAGATTCTAAGCTCACCCAAAACAGGTGATTCAGCAAATCACATTTGCAAATGCCATTACTGGAAGTAGGACATCTATAAGACACACACGTGTGTGTACACGCAATAACTAATAAAGTGATTAAATCAGAGAAAAATCATAGACAATTGAAGCTCTTCCTGATAACACTTTTGCTAGCACTGCCAGTCCAGGTATCCCTCACCTGTCCAAAAAACCTGAGCTGCATAAGGTGCCCCTTTTCATGGTAAAGGAAAGGAGGAAAATTGAAAAAAAAAGGGGGGAAAACTAAAACTAAAGAGAAACCCACTAAGAAGTGAAAATGAAATGAAAATTTCTGACATGCACTTCTCTGCTGCCTATAGCTTGATTTAGTTCTGGAAATGTGTGAAAAGCACACACAGTGTTGTGGGGTGGTAACACCAATAGTCTGTCAGTTTCACCACACAAAAATAACAATTTGAAGAGGGAGAGGCTGATCTGTCTGTTCGGGTTCCCCCTGTGAACTAGAACACAAAAGATGGTCATTCTGATTGACATGCAAAGTCTCCATGGATACAAATGACAGTCCTCCTTTTGAAGATGGCCTTTATTTGAAGGACTGCTCAATCCAAGTCTAATTTAATGATAGAAAAAGGGGGGGCAGGGACCTCAAATTTGTCCTTCCATGGTGGCCACTTGGACAGCTGCATCAGCAGGCACCCAATCTCCTGGTCAATCTCCTCCCCAGTCAAATGAGAAGCAGTATGTTTTTTTGGTTCCATTGTAACAAACATTTCTAATATTGTATCTGTACATATAAATAAGCATATGGAATCTTTAGCAATTCAATATCCTCTTTTGCCCTCCTTTTTTATAATGGGTATTGGTACCCTAAGGTGGGCCAGAAGAACAAGAAGCAATTGCCCACTAATCATGGCCAATGGCGTCACCTGAAAATATATAGGTGTAAAGCCTTGGCTTGTAGGAGGCATCTGGTTATCCAAACATAAAGATCATTTTTATACATGCATAAAGAAAAAGGTCAACCAGTGTTAATGTTTGCTGTATTTCAGGTTCTCCGCATCCAAGACATCCTTTCTGAGAAGCCTACAGTCACCCAAGTATATGTGGATGATGGTTCAGTAATTCAAGGGAGTTCTGTTGCTACAGTGTATAACCAGCATCTGCTTATTGGCACTGTCTTTCACAGAGGCCTCCACTGTGAGCTGTAGCAAACTCATTGCAGACTTTGTCACAGTGGGAAAGGTCAAAGATAATCTGAGCCAAATTCCCTGCCGAGTTTACAGCCCTGATATCTGACTTCAACCTCTATTGCAATCGACTTGTTCTGGCCATTTCCATTTCAGTTCCAAGAAGGAAGTAACAGAAGAACTATTTTTTTTTTTAAAGGAATACGGTGATATGGAAGAAATGTTGGGTTTTTATAGTTGCACCACTATTTAACAAAGAACTTCAAATTATTCCTACCTTCATATGGTAATTGATCTAAAATTGCTTTCTCTCAATTTCTTTTCAATGGCCAACTATGATTTCGTTTTGATGAAAACAGTGAAAATGACTACAGTAAATTGGTGCTAAAACAGTTGTCAAAATGTGTGCAGTTTTGTGGGGTGGATGGGTGATTTTTTTTTTTTTTTTGGTTTGTTAGTACTTGATTAAGCTATATCTAAAATGTCCAGAGACCACTTGAAACCTAGTGCATTCATGTGTTGGTCATATCTTGTTTCCATTTTTCACTCTTTCCATTATTAAGAATCTATGGGTTGGATCTAGATTTAGTCCTATTTAGAGAGGATCCTTTGAAATGACTGGAGAAGGTGAGTCTGCCTAACTATGGGTAAATCTAAATCTAATTCCATGACTTGAATCCAGTTGGTACAGCCAATTAATGCATTGAATCAATAGGATTTGTGTGTGTTGACTTGCCCTTCAGCAGTTGGTGCAGTGGGTCCACACTAGTTGGGGCTAAGAGTCAGATATAGGTCAGAATACTTCAGAATTAATATATAGTGGTGTCCCGTATAGCGAAGTTAATCCGTTCCGGATTAACCTTCGCTATGCGAAAACATCGCTGTACGGGGCAGGAAAAGCCTATTGGAACGCATTAAACTTAGTTTAATGCGTTCCAATAGGCGCCCAAACTTACCCCTCCAGCGATGTTTTCGCGGTCCGGCGGCCATTTTGGAGCCGCCAATCAGCTGATCGGTGGCTCCAAAATGGCAGCTCCGTATAGCGATCCCCAAAAAGGGATCGCTATATGGATTCTTCGTTGTACGCTGCGCTCATTAAGCGAGGCACCACTGTATTTTGTATGTACTAATTTCTAAGCAGAGGAATAAATAAAACTAGAGGTTGGGAGTTTGGTTCCTGACTGTACCTCCTTGACGTGGGCTGGACTTGAAGATTGATAGGGTCCCTTCCAGTTCTGCAGTTCTAAGATACTGTTGTTAATATTTGGTGCCAGCTTTCACTGAGGTCTAAATAGAGTGGCCCCGATTCAACTTACAAAAAGCAAAAAGCGAACTCTTGACATCAGCAGTTGAGACACAACTGGAGGCAGGACTGATTTCACCACCATCCAATTCCCTTTCTTGAGCAGCTGACAGGTGTAAATTTCTGCATTTTTTAAAAAGAGCTTTTCCATATAGTTTCTGTAGCTGTAAAAGAGAAGCCATGTGTATGATGCTTCCTTACAGCTGAATCACTTATAAGTGGCCTGTAAATGCACCTTGGTGGGTCAGGTTAGACATGATCATCCTGCTTTTTTTTATGAGTAAGACTTCCTATCTTAATCAGGAGTCACCCAATGTAGCTATTGGTGCACAGCCTGGAAAAATTATTTATGGATTTTGGTTTCCAGAATTGGTGGCCATCCTAGCTGAGGAATTCTGGAAATTGTGATCCAAAGAGTAATTTTTCCAAGCTCGTCCACTGCAGGGCATGCTGTGCCTACTTGAAGGTGTCTGGCGTTAGCAGGCCAGAGAGGGCAGAATTTTTCTTTGGAGTCCAGGAATATCACCAGCCAGTTCATTCAGGCAAATGCTGGTCTAGATAGTGATTTGATATTGATAATCAGCAGTTTTATACATCCTTCCAAGTGAAGCATGCTATGTCAGCGCATGAGGAAAACTGCATTGACCTTTAGTTTAGTCCTGGTTTTGGCATACACTTACATTTGCTTATTTAAGATAAAGAGTGTAATCAAACTGGATAATTACAGCTGGATAACGTCCCCCAAGGGTGAATGTTCCGATTTTACCTTGTCAGCGTTCCTCCTTTTCCTTTTGCAGAGTGCTACCTGCAAAGATTTTAATCCCATTGTGTTTAGAATGGCAATAAGCTGGCGAGGAGCCTAGAACAAGCGGTGTCATTGATGCAGTCACTTTATGTAAGGAATACAACACAGCATAGATGACAGTTTGACCTACACTTATCTCAGTTAGATGCTGTTCTTTTGACCCGAGTTGACTAATAGCCGTATGTTAGCTGTGTTTAAAAACAACCACAAAAAAGAGAGCTTCATTTCTCAAACATTTCTTGGTGATTGTAGGATTTCAGCCAAAGCTATGCAGTTTTAAGTATGCCTGGACCACAACACAAACCTTGGCTTTTGAGTCATACAAACTAGGAAGAGCAGTATTAAAAATGTTACTTGCAAATGTTACAAGCTAAAAACTGTGACATTTGGTTCTTCCATAAACTTTTGACTGTATGATTAAAACCTCCTTTAGAAGCATCCTTGTATGTTGGGTGAGGGACTGTTAAGTGCCTGGTCTTAAACTGTTTCAAGCAATCAAAAGCATTTAAAGCAGTATTATTTTACTCATGAAGGTTCTCATTTACGTTTTCCTTCCCTTTGGCAATATTTGCATGTCAGCATTGATATAAATGGAGGTCTATTGATGCCTATTTTCTTAAACCTCAATGATTTAGTCCAGAATTAAATTCAGTTTTAGAATTAAATTCAGCTTTAAAATATTTCAGTTCGAGTGTTCCGCCAATAGTGCCAACTATTCTTGTTTAGAGTTGATTGCTGTAATCAGTATGACAAAATCACACACATCGTGAAGTCATCAAAGCCTTTAATCAGCAGCGACTTGCTGCAGCTGCTGACATCATCACTACTATGCATGTAGACCTGCCCAACAGGATTGCAGCTAGTTGTGTGAAGTATGGGTCTCTAAATGGAGTTGGAGTTGCAGTCCAGTAATATCTGGAAGGCTGCACTTTGTCCACCTCTGTTTTATCTAGGTAAGATCCATGCAAAAGACCTCTTCCACATGCTTTGTGGGTGGGAGGTGCATTAGATTGCATCTAGGCTACAACCTAACAATATGCACACTTGATGCCCCTTGCAACTGTCAATGGCTGAACAAAGGCCTGTGAACCTACAGAAGTACCAGCATCGGCTTCCTCCACATGAGAAAACATGGCTGTCACTCACATGAAGGACATATAGTTATGTATAACCCTTCTTCACAATACCACCAAATTAGGGGGCTTCTGAAAGCATGCTCCCGCACAATACAAATACTTTTCTGTGCATGTATGTATATTACACCCACCCCAATAAGGAAACCCTAATCTTTATCTAAGGGAACTCTTGACACTACTATGCCTACCAGTTTTCTGGAGCATGGGCTAGTACATCTTTGTTAGGATTTGTTGCTTGCTGTAGCAAATTACACTAGAGTAGGCCCATTGAATCAATGGGGAATTTGGTGAGTCAGCTCTTCAATAAGTTCCATTGATTCCAGTGGACCTGCTTTAGAGCATGGTGGGAAGTAACGGCATTCTGTGTCTAGTCGCACTGGCCATGTGACCACGGAAGATTGTCTTCGGACAAACGGTAGCTCTATGGGTTGGAAATGGAGACGAGCACCACCCCCTAGAGTCGGACACAACTGGACAAATTGTCAAGGGGAACCTTTAACTTTTGGTGTTGTTGTTGTTTAGTCGTTAAGTCGTGTCCGACTCTTCGTGACCCCATGGACTAGAGCACGCCAGGCCCTCCTGTCTTCCACTGCCTCCCAGAGTTGTGTCAAAGTCATCTTGGTAGCTTCGATGACACTGACCAGCCATCTTATCCTCTGTCGTCCCCTTCTCCTCTTGCCTTCCCACTTTCACAACATCAGGGTCTTTTCCAGGGAGTCTTCTCTTCTCATGAGATGGCCAAAGTACTGGAGCCTCAGCTGCAGGATCTGTCCTTCCAGTGAGCACTCAGGGTTGAGTTCCTTTAGAATTGATAGGTTTGTTCTCCTTGCGGTCCAGGGGACTCTCAAGAGTCTCCTCCAGCATCAGAATTCAAAGCCATCAATTCTTCGGTGGTCAACTTTCTTTAAGGTCCAGCTCTCACTTCCATACTTCACTACATAGTTTTGACTATGCGTACTTTTGTTGGCAAAGTGATGTCTCTGCTTTTTAAGATGCTGTCGAGGTTTGCCATCGCTTTCCTCCC